CCCTACAACAAAGTAAATAAAGGCCGATAACGTATGATTCTTTTCTTTAAAAACAAAACAAAAGAAAAAGAAAATAATAATGTGTGATTCTCGTTCTTCCCCTGAAAAGCCAATTAATCAAACATTTTTTTAGAGATAAAAAAAAGAAATTTGATTGATTAGCTTTCAAAAAGCCAAAAAAAAAAAAAAGAAAACACTAATAACGCAATAAAATAATTAGTCTTTTTTTGGTAGAGCCTTCTTATCAATAAGGTCCATTTTTTATGATAAAAAAACAAATCAAAGTAAAAAGATATGTAGAACAAATATATTTTAATACAGATTAACAACTAAAAAAGTATGGGTAGTTTATTTTTATTTTTTATTTTTTTAGAAACTCCATAAAATAATACCTCACCCAACAAAAAAAATAAAAATAAAATGCGCGTTTGAAACTCGTTCTAAAATGATTTTATTTTTTATATGAAAATGTGTTTAGTAGTTTTATCAAGAGATTTTTTCAGTATAAAAAATAACGTTATTGTCTCTCTCTGCTCGAGAGAGGAGAAAACGAAAATAAAAAATGAAAAACGATTAAAAGTCATTTTTCATTTCTCTCTCATTTTACACTAAACTAAAAAATCGTTTTCATTTTCATTTTTTGTCTTTATTACTCCAACACCGTTTTGTAAACGTTTTTATTTTTTTTCTCAAAAAACGTAAAAAATAAAAACGAAATCAATTCTAAACACGGCAAAAAATTTTGCTGACCAAAACTTTACGTGTTTTTGTTCTCCTCTGTAACATTACCATATATAACATATCCAATATACATAATTGAGATTTCGTTGAACAACAAATTTTTTTCCCTTTTCAAATTTTATCCCCAGAACTTGACTTCTCGCATTTGGAGGTCTTTCTTTCAGTTTCCGACACTTTCTCGAGAGTTCTCGGAGCCAGAAAGTCATATTTGGTAAGCGTGCTTGGTGGGTGTTTGTGAAAATTTTGTTATGTGGTTGTTTGGCTAGAGAGAAAACTTAGCAAAGACCAGTTGAATCATATTAATGTCCACTGTTTTGTTTTCTCGGAAACTGAGCAAAGACTAAGAAAAATAAAAAAAGAAAGAACTTGGTCAACAGCCAATAGCTTTTCTTCTTCCTTTTTCTTCTTATCTTTTTCTGTTTTTAATTATTTTACGTTCCTTTGGTTTTTGGCAAGTCTTTTGTTGTGTTTTCTCACTATTGGTGTTCAGATAAGAAACACTTTTTCTGTAAAGAGCCTTGTTTCAATACTTTTCTGTGTTGCTTTTGGAATATTCTGTATTAGAGAGAAAGGTATTTTGTTCAATTAAGAAGATAATAAGAAAAAAATTCACTATATTTCTTCTTTATGTTCGATAGCAAGTTCAATTTTTATTCACTTTGCCTCAATTTTTATTGTTGTTATGAATTATGGTTATTAATTCATTAGCATTTCTCCTATGTTGTATTGTATTATGTTCTGCTTTTGGTTTTGCAGGGCAATTTCTGTTTCATTATTCTTGTCAAAAACCCAATAAAACACTTTTTGGTGTGACTATGGAGAAAAGTGGTTCTCTTTTTAGGAATAGGAGGTTGGAGAGCTTTCTAAACACAAGCTCTAATCCAACTGTGAAAGAAGCACCAAAAGTTTTGGTCAAAGAGGAGGCAGGGCAACGGCCGAGGGCCTCCGCCACTGCTGACGTTTACGTCGACGACGACGGATGGCTTCCGACATTGATATCGGTTGTGAGAATTGTAGTATGTTTTGTGTCAATGATGTTTACAACATTCATATGGGCGTTGATCATGATTTTGCTCTTGCCATGGCCTTATGAGAGGGTTAGGCAAGGGAATGTGTACGGCCATGTGACTGGAAGAATGTTGGTGAGCCACTTTTCCGACATCATGATTCTTGTTCTGAGAGGAAATAATTTTGATGTTGTTAAGAAATTCAATTATATTATGTCATCAAGTTTGACACGTAATAAAATGTTTGATTTCATAGATAGAGCAATGTTTGATTTCCTTTAAGCATCTACTGCTACCTAATCATTAACGTCCGGCCTTTTTAGTTTGCGATTTCGTGGTTTTAACTGTTTGAATGTTTATTCATTTATTTAGAATTTGCAGGGGGCGGATTTGAACTCTACCTCTTATGGTGGAGTCAGGTGTGAAATTACTGTTAAACTATGTTTGTAATCGCCGTTTTAAGTGCTTGAATTTATAAAGTTTAGGAATAATTCGGATAAAATATGCGGTGGGATTAACTTTTAAGGATATTGATTGCAGATGTGGATTCTTGGTAATCCTATAAAGATTGAAGGCGCTGAGTTCTCTAATGAGAGGGCAATTTATATCTGCAACCATGCTTCTCCTATAGATATTTTCCTTATAATGTGGTTGACTCCCACAGGCACTGTTGGCATTGCAAAGAAAGAGGTAAGTTTAGATTCTTAAAAGTTAGAAGAATTATGTGGTAGGGCATGAGAAAATGGCCTACCGGTAGGACAGTATTTAACCGTTATATTTTCATCCAGTTCCGTTAATTTATCGTACTTTTCTTAATTTGATATAATTCTGACATGATGTGACGGAATTCTTATTAATCTGACATAACTTGGTTGAAACTTACTTGACACAGATAATATGGTATCCGTTGTTTGGACAACTTTATGTTTTGGCCAATCACCTTCGTATTGATCGATCCAACCCGACATTGGCCATTGCATCTATGAAAGAGGTATGCAGTTTTCTCCTCCCACATTCTTAAGATTGCATTTTGTCTGCATTTTTAACTTTTGATACTTATCATGTTCAGGCTGCTCGTGCCGTGGTGAGAAACAACCTTTCTTTAATCATATTTCCGGAGGGCACCAGGTCGAAGAATGGACGCCTGCTCCCATTCAAAAAGGCACTTCTCATACCTTTGTTAATTTTACTATTTTCTCACCATCAAAGTATCATTTGTCCAAAGGAACCATTGATAGTTGTCACATCACATTAGTCATGGTTTGGATTGATTAATGAGTTAAAACCAATTCATTTAAGTTGTTATACTTCAACACGAACCTATTTTGTTTGTTAATTTTGCTATTTTCTCACCATCAAAGTATCATTTGTCCAAAGGAACCATTGATAGTTGTCACATCACATTAGTCATGGTTTGGATTGATTAATGAGTTAAAAACCAATTCATTTGAGTTGTTAAACTTCAGCAAGAACCTATTTTGTTAGGCATAAAAATCAAACTCTTTCATTCATTTCTTTGCTTGTGCTCTATAATATTCAAGCATAACGCAGCAGCCTCATTTGCAGGGCTTTGTTCATTTGGCGTTGCAGTCGCGCCTCCCAATCGTTCCTATGGTCTTTACAGGCACACATCGCGCGTGGAGGAAGGGCGGCTTACATGTTCGACCAGCTCCAATAACTGTCAAGTATCTCGAGCCAATACCAACACATGATTGGACGGCTGATAAGATTGACGAGTACCTCAAAATGATGCAAGATTTATATGTCAAACACCTCCCGGAGTCTCAACGCCCTCTTCCATCAGAAACTCCTAGAATTAGTTCCAAGTCATAGTTGAGGTACCTATTTACAATCATCTAGGGGGTGTTTGGTACGAGGATTCGTGTCATGATTTGTGACTCGTTACAGTGTTTTCTTTTAAAAAACACACGTAAACTAAGAATGGTTATGAATCATGGTTCTAAATCTATGAACCAAACGTCCACCTAATTGTTCAAAGTCAATCCAATAGGTAATATGCTAAATTAAGCAGGAATACATGTTTCACTAATGTGTTAAGCACCTTTTTTCTTTTAGGACGCTCGGCTTGTTAGTTCGATCTATCAAATAAGGGATTTTCATTGGTGATGTATAGTATTTTTTTTTCCGCGCTTTGGGTCTTGTACTTGAATTTAGGCATGTGAAGTTGGATGATCAGCTGATAGAGAGAATTTGTTTTGTGCTCAAGTTCAATTTGAAGACGAAAATTCAGCTTGGTGGATATTTCTCTTTCCTTTTCCCTATTATTATTCGAACTTAAAAAGAGAATATAATCAGTCATTGTAAATTGTGTATATAGGTAAATAATTATGGGACGCTTGGAAGGGAGATTCGTGTCATGATTCGAATCATGGTTCGTGTCATGATTCGAATCATGGTTCGTGTCATGATTCGAATCATGGTTTGTGTCATGATTCGAATCATGGTTCGTGACTCGTTATAGTATTTTCTCTCATAAAAAACACTGTAAAATGAGAATAGTTCTGAATCATAATTTTGAATCTATGAACCAAATGTCTCCTTATTGAAAAATATTATCGTCTAGTTTGATATTGTTGTGCTTTTGAAAGAATTTCTACTTTCACTTATAGCGAAAGAGAAATAAAAAATAGAAGTTGAGTGAGAAGTTAAAAAAAAATAAAAAAAAGAATCCACCTTCAATAAATAACGGTAAAAGTGTAGTGTTAGAATCCTTCTAAATAGTCGCGAGGTTTAAACGGGTGTGTTTATACATTTTGATACCCCTAAAAATAATGTTATAAGACATTAATAGTATTGAATTCCCTAATGTAAGAAATGGACCATTTCTTTGGTGGTGTATCGTCGTTGGTACAAGCTCACTGCTTGTTTACTCGTATTAATATCAAAAAGGGGGGGCCCACACAGAGATGTGCGTCAACGTTTTGGGGTCCACATAGAGTCAGGATGCTCCATTAAATAATCCTCTTTAGTTGAGGACTAAGCATGTAATTATCTATGAAAGTCGGACTAAAGGCTCGTTTAGTTTATGCGTTTAAATCAGTAATTTTTTATTTTGATATTTAAAATTTAAATTTTTTATGAGAGAAAAACACTGTAGTAAAATAAAAACTATGAATTTAAACGCATGAAACAAACAGTCGCTTATGTTTGTTCGTTTCACCAAAGTCTAATATGCCGCTTTATTTTATGTTATATTCTCTTTTAAGGAGCTTCTCTAGTAGGACTTAAAAAATGACCTATCAGTAGTTCTTTATTTTTTACCGTTAAATTTATATCAAAAATTATATATTCTACATATTTTTAACCTGATTCAATAGTTTCTCTCAAAAATTGACACTATAAGTAGGACTAGCCTACTAGAAAAACTCTCTTTTTCATAACATTTTTTAACATTTTGTGTTCTTACTGACCAAGCAAGCATTTGTCCTTGAAGAAAGTTTTGGTTTATGCAATCGTATAAATTTCTTCAAAATTTTTCTTTACACAACATCGTGATATGATAATGTTGATAATGTGGACAAGGAAAAAAAAATGATAAGAGGCACCAAAAAATGAAAAAAAAAAATGGAAAGAGCAAGTTTATCAAAATCAAATAAATTAGTCACGAAGGGGTGGGAAGTCACACATTGGCTAGATATGAAATTAAGAATAAGTTTCAAAGGACTTAAACTACTCTTTCTAGGTTAATTTTTTAGAATGGAATCCCAGGAATGCAACATATACCTATTTAGTTCGTTGATTCAAGTTAAGATGTGATTTTATATGAGAGCTTTTTATTGTAGGAAAAAAGTTAGATGCAACTGTATTTGAGAGTTTTTTACTGTAGTAAAACTCGAATCGGTGAAATAAATGAGACAAATTGAGAGTTTAAAATAATTCACAGGAAAAGAAAAAAGTGCAAGGAAAGATGGAAAGGAAATGTGGTATGAAATATGAATGGAGTAGTAATAAGCATATTAATTATGAAGTACCAGAAACTCTAGAAAGAAGAGGGCGAAGTCAAACAAATTTCCTGTGTTTAAAATTATAGGTAATAGCCCTCTCAGACTGACTTGTCATGCACAAGTTAGTCTGAATAATCTATTCCTCTTTTGTCCTAACAAAAAATAAATAAATAACACACAAAAATTACAAAAAGACAGAAAACTACCCAAAAAAACCTATAATAGATTAAAAGTTTCTTGTAAGGTTATGGAATTTTGAGATCAAGATTAGTATAGCAGCAAAGAAAGGCAAAAAGGATGAAGATCATTACTACCGGTTTCATTTTACTTTTTTTGATAATTCTGAGTTGAAATGTGACTTTATATGAGAGTTTTTTACTGTAGTAAAAAAGTTAGATGTGATTGTTTCTGAAAGCTTTTCACAGTAATAAAACTTAAATTTTAAACTCGAATCGGTAAAATAAACGGGATCTGATTTTATTTAATTAGCACTCTACACTGTAAATATAACATTGTACTCATTAATAAAAGAATGATTCAACTTTTCTATTGCAACTGAAACCCAACACGTTATTTTAATGCCTTTTTAAAGCTTTTTCTGCCAAAGACACTGCTAGTTGGTAATTGGTAGTTGGTACACCTTTTCAGTCATGCAAATTTTTTATTTTTTTTTATTTTTTAAAGAATAGTTTTCAGTCATGCAATTGGAGAGTGAGATAAGGAGGGGGGAAAATGCAAAGTTTGAATAATTAGACAGACCAAACTAAACCGAGACCACACCTATAAGACATTGATTTAATTTGGTCTGCCTTTTTTAAAAACCAACTAGATTGGTTTGGTTTCATAGTTTGCCCAAAAATAAAATAAAATCAAACCTAACTAAACCCATTTCTATTTATACTTGAAAAATTATATCTATTTACCTATTTGTTAAAATATGTTTGGTTTGATCGATTTATTAATTTTAGTTTGCTGGAACACTAGATTTTACTATTTAAATTTGTAATTTAGTTTTATTTTCATAATGAACTTTTATATCCTATAATTATGCATTCTTCAATTTAGTTGAGGATGATATGGATGGTTAATTTTTAATTATGAAAGTTTATGAGTAAAAGAACGATTGATATTTTATTTATAAATTATTGTTGCCAATCATAATTGTGACAAGTTGACAAGTACGAGCCCAAACTAATTTAAAAAACCAAATTAAATTATTTGTAATCAATTTGGTTTGGATTCAAACTATTTGTTTTTGTTTAGTTAAATATCCTCAGTTAAGGACAAACTTATATTCTAATTAGATTATTCACACACGCCACCTTTTCTTAATTTTTTTATAAATTTTATATTGTTTTCGTCTTTTAATTGCTTTTTTTTTTAAATTGAGAAATTAGAGTTATGGGCTCCAACTTTCATTTTTAAATGGGAAAAATCAGAAATGTCACTCAAGTAAAAAGTATTATTTAAGACACTCCACTCAAAAATAAACAATTATCATTCAATTAATAAATAAAAAATAAAAAGTCACAATAACACTTAATTTTTTAGAATAACATAAATATTAAGCCTCTAAAAAACTATGGCAAACTATGTACTTTTCTTTTTTTAAATCCTCAACTCTAATTTCCCTTGCATATTCTTTGTTTCAATGAAATGTGAAGAAATTTCTACGATAAAAAATGTCCTTTTCAAGTACTGACAGATTATATTAAGTTTTTAGATTTATAAGTGTCCACATTGATATTAATATTTTGCTACATGCAAAATAAAATCGTTCCTACTCATACATAAAGAGTGTCGAAATATAAAATAATAGCATAAATAAATAATTAAAAATTACAGTTCCAGTCACATGATTTTCACATCAACTTACAAAAGTAGTTACAAGACCGCAATATCCTCTAAAAACGACAACAAAATGAGAGAACATCAACCTAAAAATGACAACCACCGAAAATGAGGTCTCTTCTTCTCTTTTAATCAAATTAGTTGGAAGCAATGCGCGTGCATATTCAGTATATTATCTTTCTGAATATGAAAATATAAAATTTCTTTGAAAGTTTAAATTTTTTTAATTATTATTTTCTTAAGAGTAATCCAAAGAAAAAGATTTTTTATTGTGATAAATTACCCATTGAATTATTTATTGGGCGCCAATGGAAAAAGTAGTTGGGAGTGTTTGAAGAAAAAAAATGTTTGGGTAAGATCATATTAAGATGGAAAAAAGGGGGAAGGAATTCAAAACGAAAAAATAAAAAGAAAAACATAGGCCATTTTTTTTTTAAATAAAATAAAACACAACTAACTAACAAAACGCTTTCTTAGACACACACTGAAACCCATTCTCCTTTGAAAAACGAGACAAATACCTTTTAAAGTATACGAGTTTGAATTTTTACTTATTACTCTTTATTAATATCCTTTTTAGTTAAATAATTATATAAGTCAAAAGGGTATTAATCAAGAATAATAGGTAAAGATCTAGACTCACACACTTTAAGAGTAACTTTAACAATTTTCTCTTCTCTTTTTTATAGGAGGTGTTGAGGGGTCATTATGACCAAAAGAATAGCCCCCCCACCAAAGCAAGCTAACGGGGAAGAACACCCCGAACAGGTCAAGCACTTGATTCGAGCAGGCCGGCAGGGAAGAATAGCTCAAACATGTTGAGCTCTTGGTCTGAACAGGCCAAATAAGCTGACGGGTTAGAACATCCCAAACAGACCGAGCACTTGATTCGAACAAGCCAAACAGGTCGAGCACCTGGTCCGATCAGGCCGAACAGAAAAAACTAGCCTGAAAAGGCCAACAAGAAAGAACAACCCAAACAAGCCGAGTACCTAGTCCGAGAAGGCCAACCCGAACATGCCTAGTACCTAGTCCGAACAGGCCGAACATGCCAAGCACTTGGTCCGAACATGTGTACGTAGCCGAGTAGGCCG